AGAATGTCTATTTCTGGATGTTGTAAGACATAAAAGGTCACAAAGTTGACATCTTCCTTAACCACTTGAGTGCTGCATCAACCCATATGAAACAGGAATGCTAGAAGATGGTATCCAAACTGAAATAAGCACTTATTTCCCCCTGATCTCAATGTGATTTCAGACTGCTCTGAATCATAGTTATGGAAGAAATGCTTTTGGGCTTCTCCAAAACAGTGAGTAGACAGGCTTTATAGAAGTACAGAACTTGATAGTCACATAAAAACAGTGGGGAAATGGGGGAGAGAAAAACACCTGCAATATGTGCAGGCACTGGGTCATTTTAGCCAGCGGAGAAAAAGGATCATAAGAGAAAAAAGATTCATGAAGTTGCTGCTGAGTCAATAGGGTTTTAAAGTGTTTCCTCATATATTTAGACAAAAGGATTTACTGTATTATTTTCCTTTGTAATATCACAACATACTGAGAACAGTCTTGCTATATGCAAAATGTCAAAGTATGTAAAACAATATTTAAGTAGATACTTTCCCTTCAAAGTTGACTAATTTTCAATTAGTGATTAAAATGGCTTTCAACTGAGAACATGACAGAGCTTGAAGCTTTGGAATATCTCTGATTTCATTGTAATTTCATTTTTTGATGTGCTACAGCATTTCAGCAACATTTGCAAGATTAGTCCTCCTGGAATTTTCCATTAGTTACTTGCTGGAATTTTCCAATAGGGAGGAACAAGGATTGTGTTATTTAAGAAAAGAAATTCGTGGTACTACTTCCTGGGAGCAAACCTGAGGGGTTATCTTTTCCTGTAGTCAAGTCTATCTGTCTGCCTGCGTCCCCCCGTCCTGTCTTTTCATCCTTTTAAATCAAAATAAGGTACTTAGTGAAATATCGCAGGGCAATATTTTGCTTGTTTCTAGTAGTGCATTCGGCCATAACAGTAGCAGCAATAACATAGAGTAAAAGCATGACTCTGTTCCAACTGACATCAAAAAGATATTTGGAGACTTAAAAGGCTTTCTCCTGAAAAAGGACCTCAAAAAATAAAATTATTGCAACTGCATTATAGCTGTAATCGTAAACAAACACTTTCTTGGTACTGTTCTTTTGAAATACTTATTTCTGCTACATGCTGAAAATCTTGGCTTTTATATAACAGTGTAGATGTATTTACTCTTGCAGATTAATTGTTCTCTTGTTGGTATTTCATGTGACAGAGTTGCCACGAATGAATTACAGAAACTTACTGAATGCAAGCTTCATGAATGAGAAAAATTATGTAAATAACACAAACTCATTTATAATGTGTGCGAATCAGCTCCTTGAGGTGCAGGATTGTATGTAAGGACTCATAAAAAAAAAGGAAATAAACATTATCAACTTAAAGACTTAGTCATGTAAATAAAATATAGTATGTTATAAAACCAGCTTCTACTAGATTTACATTTTAAGTAGCAGAATATATTAGGAAAACATGCAGAAATGGGAGGGTTTTTTGCTGAGGGAGATAGAGACTCATAAAAAACTCAGTGAAATGAAAGCATTTCTTCTTTCAAGGAAACAGTCCAGAAGATAATTTTAAATAGTCTTTTGATGTTCATAAGTCTTTAGCTCATACACAAAATCAGCCTGATTTTCTCCCAAAAACTCAACTGACTAATTTAAGCTCCTTTGGTGATTTAGCAGGAGCCATTTTATTCCATTTAAAAATCATTGCAACACAATTTTCATTTAATGCATTATCAGAAGGAAGATGATTTTTAATCAGTTTTCAGGCAGAATTCATCTACAATACTATGTAATAAAATGCTCTTATCCCTGTTAACACAGCTTATTTTTTTTTAAAAAAATATCTTTTACAGAGATATAAATGGTTTGGGAAAAGGAAGAAAATATGAATTTTGTTATTTATATCCTGACAGTTTATTTCACTCTCCATTTTTAGAGATTGTCACCAACAAACTAGTAAAGCCTTCATAGTTATATGAAGAATTTCTTCTTTTCTATAAGAGAAGATGCTTCTGTTGCAACTACTGATAACATATTTAATATTATCCAACATTAGATAATTTATAAATGGATTCGGTACTTTTCTGACAAGGTAATTGAGGTAAACAGAAACTTAATAACTTACCTCAATTAGGAGCTATTACCTTTTCCATCACTGTCCACCCCAGTATCAAAATGCAGGAAAAATATAAATGATAAGAAAGATGAAAAGGCAATACACTGATGAATAGAGAACAAAAAATGTGACTAAAAAAACTGTTAAGCAGTTCAAAAGTGTGATTTATAAATATAAAAAAACAACTTTGGAGAGAATAAAGATGGTGTAATGCAAAAGCAGTGAATGTGAAGTGCACAGGATGCATAATTTTTAGGCACACTGAAATTGCAAATAGGAGTATGTACGCTAGTGCATTTTGAATAAGTCTTTCTTTCTAGAACAACAAATCCTATAAAAACATTGAAAGCTCTAATGCATTAAAGCATACATATGGAAATCTTTTACATTTTTCATACTGAAACATTTCAGGCTGAAAAGATGACAAAGTGATTTGGTTTTTTTTTTTTTCCCCTGCATATTTTCTAATACACAATTTAGAAGGCTGTATTAACACAATAAATATTTGTATAGAGCTGTGTAGAATATTGCAGATGAACTAAAAGCTACTCCCTAAACACCATGTCCTTGGTAAATGAGATAGGATTCTTCCTGCTAGGCCTTTGCAGAAATATTCCCCAAGGGAAACCTGTCCTGCTGCTTATTGCAACAGCTGTGCTGAGTATTGTTATCTCAGATATAGCTGTGGATTTGCACATGAAAGATATACAACACATGGTTTTCTGAAAATACTTAGCTGACTGTTTCAGAGAATTCCTTCCTTACTGATTTCTTATGATAGAGAGAGTGTCCCCATGGTCTCTTCTTCTTAAGAGAGGAACTAACTCCATCGTAGAAGAAAATACAACACATCAGAGGCACACCCTACTGAGAGATTCTGTGAATCTCCCTAGACATCAGTGTTTGATAGATAAAGCAAAATGTTCTCATGGAACATCTGAGGACTTAACAACTTTGATTAGATAGTATCCCACTGAATAAGAGCAGAAGGACTGGCCACAAGACTTTTAACCCTCTTCCCAGTGGAACAACATTGTGTTTTCATAAAAAAAAACTAACCAAGTCATACAGTCATAAATAAAACTGGAAAAGAGAGAAAATTGGTAGGATCGAGAGGGTCCAAGAAATACAGATTGAAATTCCAAAGATAATTTAAATTTAGTCATATTCCTCATATGCTTTATTTAATTTGTTTAAATTTAACTTCTTTACATTTGTATATTGCCTAATGAAAATTCTTCATACATCATTTGATCGTGGAAATCCTGAACCGCTACAACATTTAACTGACTAAAGTATTAAGAGTAAATACTGAAGCCTATAGCTGAAATTCACACTTCTCAGACCATTTCCATAGGGATAAAAGTACGTGCAAACATCTGGAAATTACTCAGAAAAAGGAAACATTTTTGTCTGCTGTTTATAAACATTTCTGATCTGAACATGCAGCTATTAAAACAGTAATTTCACAATCAGGTTATAGCTGTCTTGTTTCTCTCAGAAAACATTCAGAAATAAGTGTGAACACAAACAAGGATTTAAGAAATATATGTAGACTATATTACTATCAGGCATTTCTATGAGCATCAATTCACACAAAAAGAATTACAGAATACGCAGAAATACCAAGGTATCCTTGCATTCTTTCAAAGACAACGTTTTTCCTGGCACATCCTGGTAAAGTCACAAAGAATATGAAGTTTCTTCTTTTAGAGAATGAAGTTACATAAGAGGAACTAGCAAGGTATCTGAAGAGCAAAATAGATCTTCAGATTGCAGTTATTTAGTACTCTACATTCTCTGAACAATAACCTCTTACCCAACAGAAAGCAGAATGGTTGCACATAATTTTTACTCCACAAAATGACAGTAATTAGCATAACATTTTCAGAAGACCAGTAAAAAAAAAGGTCACCAGTTTCCCATTTTCTCTTGCTCATTAATTGCTAATAGATGAGGTCTAGTTCAGGTAAACAAGAGAAGAGAGAACAGAGAACAAACAGAACTTTATAAAAGAGAAGTAGGACTAAAAGCTACAATTAAAACTACTATTATTTTTTTTCACAAAATAGAGAACCTCCCTGCAGCACACTGAGATTAATCAATTACTTGCTCAAATTGCACTTCAAAGAGTTGGTTGTTGCTTTCACAGGCACAGAACACGGCAGGTATGTCAAACTACAAAAACTTCCTAAAATAGTTCCAAAACTTGCTTTAGCAGAAGAGAAAGTGCAGAAGGAAATTATTTCACATACACAGATACAAGGCCTACTAGAACTTCCTCGTCAGGAAAAGGGTGTTTCTGCACTACTGCAAAACTGCCACGTGTTATATAACAAGGAAATTTAATTCTGGGCAAATTTCTTCATACAGACCGATAGAAGCAAATAAATTTTTAATAAAATCTTACCAACTGCCAACTCTATGCCTCACTCTGACAAATAAAGAAATTAAAAATACGGAGTACTACACCTGCTGTTTCTCCAGTCATAGTAAGTCAGTCACTGTCCACAGTCCATACCTATCTTTAGCTTGAAAAAGCACTGAATTATTAATGTTTATTCTGGGAGAAAGAAGGAAATTTTCTTGTTTAATGATGTCTCACAGGGGAAGGATTATATAACGCTCAAAAACGTACCCTGGAGAGAAACAGTGCCTTAACATCTTATGAACCTAAGTTCATTACTACAGTAAAAGGCCATCTCTATCCTGGAGCAATATCATATAAACATCATTTTTTTCATTAGTGAAACATCCAGTTATCCAAATCACTTTTAGATCATTAGAAAGATTGTTATTGACTTTTCAATAGACCTACACTTTACCTTGGACATGAAGCTTCAGGTTTTCCATTAAATAAAGGTGACAACATACTTACTTTTCTGTCTGGCCAATTATATTTTGCAAATATTGTATCATATGTGTCCACAGCCCCGTCAGTGATCAACATTATGGCTTGGCTGCAAATGCTTCCTTGTCCTGTGTGATTGAACTGTGAAAGGAAACAATCATGAGGTACAGCACATTCCTGTTAAATGAAGACAGACAGGATCACACTGAATAAACAGGTATCTTGTGAAATCTCTAGTATTATTAGTAGTAGATGAAAATATTCAGGCTGAAAACAGTTTATCATAGATATTATGTTCTTAGTGAATTGAAAAATAAGAAACACCCCCAAATACAGCACTTCCCCAAACTGAAACTGTATTCCCCTGTTTTAGGTAGATGATAAGTATCGATGCATCTATAGAGGGTTTGCGTTGATTTAAATGTCATTTTAAAAGCACAAGTTAAGAAAGAAGTAATGAATGACTGAGGATTCGTCTGCAAAGTAAAGAAGATACACAACTCAGAGAGACATATGGCATTCAGATTCACTCAGGATTACATTCCATATGTTATTTTCTATAAAATATTTCTCTGGGAGAACCAAGTTCTTATTTATATATTTTGAGATTCTCCTCTTGCCCAAAATGAATATATAAAAGCAAGTCAAGCTGCTGAACAGCAGCACTTGAGCACAGGTACTTAGACAGCAATCAACATATCCTTTGGCATATGCAAAGGGAATTTCATCGTTATACAAATGAGATTTTCTCCTGTCAAAGAGCAAGCACGTTGGACTGAGTCATAACAGAAGCTTTGATCTCTTGATTCTGGAGGTGGTGCTCTGGCTTTGAATCCATTGCCTCTGTTTGTTTTGGTTATAGAACAGGTTCTTATTTTTCCATATACTTATATATTTAAAGAATCTAGGTGAAACATCTGGCTTTTAGCAAAAAAAGAAAAGCAAGACTGGAAAATTATTTGATTTTTCATTGCTATGTATGAACATTTTAAAAAATATCAATGAAAAGATCAATGAACTGGGATATTACAAACAACTCTACAGACTGGGCTAAAAGTTGAATACATGCTAATGAAAGAACAATCTCCTTTTATTCTCTTCCCATGTAGTTTTCATGTAGATTATCAAATTCAAGGTCAGGCAAGGTCTCATCCTATACCCTGTCTCTTGATGTTGAGAAAGCCAAGCACCTTGTCAGCCTGGTTGGGCCCCAAAATAGGGTGGACCCATTTAAAGGTGAATTACCTCACAGAGACTGACCACTTCTGTATTCATCAAAAATTATTCAGATTATTCTGATCTGATTTGGTGTAGCAACTGCTCTGTCTTTAAGCTTTCTGCAGTTTACTCACCCTTACATATTCACTGTTCTTCCAAAACTCTAAAAGTCACTTTTTCTAAAAAAAAAGTTCTGAACTTCTAAAAATTTCATCTTTGTAGAAGTGCCTGCAGTAGAAAAGGGTGGATGGTGGGCTCCAGCAGTGCTCTGTCCTCTTTTCTTCTGCCTTCACACTTCTCTATGTGAATAATCACACCCACATTCAACAATCATTTCTATCAATGCATTTCTCCCTCAGTTTCTTTTTGTGCAAAAAGCAATCTCAGCAAAGAGTAATGGAAACATGTTGCTTAACAGGCAGCTAATGTGTGTTTAGGTATATTCTGGTCAGTGGCTGGTTGAAAATTCTTATCTGTGATACTTGCAGGGTAGATTAACCACAAAATTCTTCACTCATGGCAGTTTTTCCAGTCTTAACTAGAACTAGAATTTTTACAGTGAGATTCCTTCATGATCTTAGATTCGATATTTTCTCATAAAGATGAAGCTGCTTTGTGAAGGGATATGTTCTTCACAGGGACAATGTATTTGGAAAGTGACAAGGTATCTTAAAAGAAAAATTAATGAGGGGGGAATGCCTTCATACATTTATTTTAAAACATCACTCTGTGTGCATCTGCATTATTCTACATAGTTATCTGAATATTTTGAGGAATGAGATTCAATTCAAATACTTTGATGAGTAATATCTTCTCATATTTGTCTAAAACTTTAATTTTATTGAATAGCAAGAGTGATGAAAGTGTTTTCCATAATAATAACAATGACAAGGGCCTTATGATGAACTACAATTAACTCAGTGATTCATCAGTTAGCTGAAAAAACTTCAGCGCATCCTGACATTTACTGCATTTGGTTGTGATTAACAGTCTTTGAAATGTCACAGAGTTTTATTTAATTGGTTATGATTTTTTTTTAAAGGTAATCACTACAAAGAGTGCATTTGTCACCAAAAGAGATAATTGCAGTTGTCACATGACATAGTAGGTGCCCAACTACTGTACCAAGCACTTCTATATTCTTACACTGTATAATGCACACTGCATAAACAGAGGATTGGAAAGAATTTGGAAGTGGATTTTTAAATGTGCTTTTCAAAGACATCAGTATCAACCATCTTCAAATCTTAACAACCATAGCAAATACTGAAAGGTAAATTGCAAGGGAAAATCAACTGAGTTTAATTGGTGTAACCCCTGAACCATTCTAAAATCCAACCAGAATCTTAATAGACTATTTGTGCAACACAAAGCTTTCTCTTTTTTTTCCTATCCTACCTGCCCCCCTTCCTACTCCTTTTTTTTTTCCTAGTGTAGAAAAGACATCCTTAGCTAACTTATAGTTCACAAGAATAGATTTCTGACACATGAAGGTCACATTCTGTATAAAAAAGTGGGAAATGGTTTGCTGTACTCCTTTAAGGAAAGATTAAGTAGCTTTTTTTCTAGGCTATGCTGCTTAGCAGAAACTTCCAGAGACTCTGTTGATATGCCTGAATATAATGGAAAAGATTTTTATGCTGGCATTTCTGAAAGTTTATACGCAAGAAGGCTTGAACCTACTATATTTCCTTTTATAGTATAAATAGAAATAGTCAATATAGCACCTTGCATAGATCTGAACACATGCAGCACAACCCATCATGACCTTACAGATCTGTCTCATGGGTACAATTCAGTACATGGGATATCAGTTCCCCTTACTCTCAAAACTACTTTTATTTAATGAGATTTTTATACCAAATTTATTGTTATCACTTCAGTTGCCTCTCACAGATTTTACAACAAAATAAAACAAAACAATTCTCATTTCAGGAACTCTTGATCACTGTCTGTAACGTGAAGCTTTTTTTCAGTTTTTCGGTTTACACAGATTTGGAGGACCAGCACAGAACAACTCTTGCATTGAGGCTGGTTGCTATTTACTGTTGTGTTATTGGTTCCTAAGACTATACTTGGTGCCCACAATTCTAATAAACTCTCTAAAATAACCTAGAGTGTTCTTTACTTCATGCACCTTTTCCCATTGTCATTTTTGGCACGCTCCACATGAAGGCATTAGTTCCACACTGTCTGGCTGAACACACGAGCCGTGGGTGGAGGAAAATCCTCCTTTTTTTCATTTTAGGATTTTATGCCTGGAAAGGAATTGATCAATATTGTCCTTCAAGATGAATACAAAGGCATTAGAACCAGTAATTATTCTATAAATGTACACTATAAAGGCAGGCACACTTGTCAAGAAAAACCTTCTGGATAATGTTCTGGTTTGAGGTCTCCTTTGCAAGGTGCCTCCTTCAATCAAAAGATAGTTTGCTACTTAGTTTAGATGAGATTTTTCATCTTCCAGCAGACTAACAGATTTTAATATTTTTTCCCCCAAGTAACTTAAGGAAGAGGGGGACAGGGGGCAGAGGAAACAAAAAAAAAAAAAAAAAA